TATATATATATATATATATATTTGTCTTGATTTTTTTTTTGTTGCCCATGGGAGAAATGAAACATTCAGGAAGTTGTTCACACAGTTTAATCATGTATATTAATTACATGGTAAGACTTGAGGTTTTCACGGCAGTGAGTCCAAAGATTGCCGTCTTCTGTGTTGTAGCGCCATGTAATCTGGTAGATGTTTATCAGCGTCTAGAGGTCCTTGCTGCCTCCATTATCAGGGCAATTAGTGCTCATTGTCCCCAATGATGGTGGCAGCAAGGATCACTGAAATGTTGGTAAACTTATACCATATTGCTCGGTGCTATAACCAAGAAGATCTTCATCTTCTGAATACACGGTTAAGGCAAGTTTCAGTGTGAGATTATTTCATAGCAGTCTTATTCTTGTGTATATTACCCTGCGCACATTGTGTTATTGGCAGGCATTCTCATTAGAGCTTGCTATATTTAAAATACCTGAATGATATTAATGTAACTATTAAAATACATGAAACTACAGTTTAATTTCAGACTAGTATGATATTTAACAACTATGTTTTTGGATTTAATATACTGTTTTGAATCTAATTTGTCATTGCATGTGTAATGTCCAGTTTCTTTATAGTACAGATAACATTTTAAATTTGAATGTGGATAACTGATTTAAAGAAAGATGGCCAGAGTGAAACAGAAGTTAGTTTTAATACTGATGCAGAGACTGAGGTGATGCAGTGGAATGTTTGTCTTTGTATGGCTTAAAATTACTAGCATGTTTAGAATATTTGAATGCCATTGCACTGTAAACAGTATAAAGTTTTTTTATATTTTATAAAAACATGTTATGTATGAAATATAATAATATGACTCTATTGTCCTCGTATGTAGTAAGTCCAGAGTTTGCAGGAAACATTGTCTGTTGCTTGAAATTCTTCTGAAAATGTGATAACGATGAGAACTTTGAGTTTTATATGTTTATAAATTTAATTATTGCCATAACCTATTGTGTGTGTGTGGAAAATAATTTTTTTAATTTGAAACAACACAAATAATTTTTTGATGCTACAAGCAGTGATATTTTTCTGCTAGATTGTGTTAGAGTCTGTCTGAATAGTTGCTGTGTTTAAAACATTGAAGGTTTCTGGGACCACCCGACCCAGATGTACTCAACGTTTATTGTTTATGTGACTGGCTGTTATCAGAACTGTAGCATTAACCTTTATCATGTGGGAATAAAGGATCTGAACCCCCATACTAAGAAGCTCTTGGCCAGAATTTAACTCTGGGTTTAGTGGTTTTTAGCAGTATACTACTGCTATGGCTAGTTGTACTGCACATAAGCTGTGACACAACTGACAAAGGTTAACAAACATCTGTTCCAGTTTCTTGTATCTTACTAAATCAGGCACTTGTAAATACAGCTGTGAAAGTGCATTGCCTTTCAGAATTTTTTAAATTCCCAGGGAAATTAATTATGTATAATATTAGGATAGATACACCACTGTACTGTTTCTTAAACATTTTGGATTTGTATGTGTGAAAATTATAAATATACATGTTTGGCTTTTTTAAACTTCTTTTGAAGACTTTATAGAAAAGTTGAACAAGAGATTTCTTATGCTTTCAGAATTGCAATGTAGTGTTGTGCCTTAAATGTTTAGTGTATTGGCATGTTTGTTGTTTAAATTATTATTAACAACAGTCTTTGCAGAACACCTTGTTTTCAGTGTAAGATTGTGTCTTGATGTATTTTGTCATTTATTTATTGAGAAACTTTTATCAGTAAGTTTTCCAAATCTTAAAATCTCTTGCATTTATGGGAAAATTATGGTTCCATGTTATATTTTAATGGTATGTAATTGGTGTATCTTCTGTATTTTACTGATAAAAATAAAACCATATAAGTGGAGATTAAAGTGATAACCTTTTTTAATAAGCTACAGTTAAGGTACCATGATATTGTCAAAAAGCAATGTATGATCTCAGGCTTCACATTCAAATTATTGATGTAAGATGGGTGCTTTCATTTCAGTGATGGGGATTGTGTGTGATGTATTGTGCTGGTGTATGGTGATTAGTATTCAAAACATTTTGAAGTTTATCCTCTGTTGTTATAGGAAGTTACAACAAAGGCATGAAACATAAACATTTATTTATACCATCCTGTAAATTGACTGACCTGATTAGTCTTCATCACAAAGTTATCCATGTCTTAATGGTTCCTTAATAATAATTCTCAACATAACTTGTAACCAAGCTTTATTTTTGATACTGGTCGGAGAGAAACAGACATTTCACATGAGACTTTTTAGTCATACTATGCCAACAGTGAAAAATCTACATCATTGGCACATATGTACCTACATAGAGTTGTGCATTTTAGGTCACAGGGAGTAATTTGATAAACATAATGAGACAAACATGTTGGAACCTCTGAAAGGCATATTCTGCCTACTAACATTATTGATGAAATATAGTGACCCCAGTCTCTGTGAAAAACTGCAATTTCAGTTTTCCCAATCTAGTTCAGCATGAAGTAATGGAATTAATGTAATTTATTAGATGTTATACTAATTTTACTGTAGACAACTGCAATGGTATGCAAGGCACTTACAGTCTGAATTGTAGCTTTATAGTGTGTATTTAAATGAGAAATGTTTATTGCAAGTGGGTTAGTCACTGAAAAAGTCCCATAATACTTTTCGTAGTGAGAGAAAAAAAATAAAGTGCTTTACATTAAAAATGGGGAATATCACAGCCTATAATACCATGAAATTAACAGTATTAATAAATCAGAGGTGATAATTTAAATGGTGTGGTAAGTTCTGGTCATAGGTTATAGGTGCAAAAGATGGAAAATACCTGCAAGTTTTTTTAGAGCCTTTGGGCAAGAGAAGATGTTTTGAAGGTTATGGTAAGAGGTATGAAGGTAAATGGGAAACGAGTGGCGCGATATCTTTCGGTATCAAATTAATTATTTGGGCAATGTACACGCTGATCAGGAAAGATGTCACTAGTCTCAAGACGTCTCACTCACACACACACACACACACACACACACACACTCTCTCTCTCTCTCTCTTCTCTCTCTTTCCCCCCCCCCCCCCCCCCACCCCCCACCACACA